CAGGTTTACACATGTCACGACTTCTAGAGGGCTGCCTGTTGCGCAGGTGTTCGCCAGGATTTAGGGTTGGGTGTTTTGGTGATTCGGTTCTTTTTGATTGATGCAAACACCTTAGCCTCCTTTCAGCCTTGTGCCAGGGTCGTTCAGATGAGGCTTCCATCTGGGCTGCGGTTTGTTCTTCATTTTTCAGTCGTGTTAGGGTTTGGAGTCTGAGTCCAAGTGCTCGGCTTTGTTGGGTTCAGGGGGCTTAGCGTCTTGAGAATTTAAGATTCTGCTGGGGTTCGGGATTGCTTTTACTCCGGGTTTCCGGTTTACGGTTCACGGCTGAGGGTTTAGGGCGAGGGCTTTCAGGGCTTACGGCCATTTGTGTTAAGTGTTCGCAGTGTTGGTTGGCAGGACTTTGGGTTTTCGGGTTCGGGCTTTTTTGTCTGTGTAGGTGTCTTCAGGACTGCGGTACAGTCACGTTTGCATGTGTCTTTAACGGGGAAGCATAGGCACGGGAAATCACAGCAAGTACGACCAACATTTGTCGCATGCTTTCACATGACAGCGCGGAGTCAGCTGACGAGATCTACAGTTGCACAAGACTTCCAAGAGCCTATACGTCTTTCAAGGACGCAGCATGCTGCGAGGACCCAAGATCCACAAGCCAGGTTTACTAGCCAATGACTGCAAGAAGCCCTATGACTTCGGTGGGAAACTCGCAAGAGACAGAAAACCAGGTGAAAGCCCCCCTGCAACCCCCTCCCATCCCTGAAGCGAATTGGCGAATGCACATTGCAGAGTCCGAGTGAGCCAAAAGAACCATGAAGCTACACGTGAGCCAAGGGAGGTAGGACCCTTAAGCTCAGCCTGCACTGGGACGTTGCCATAGCCACCACCACTCAGCAATGGCGGCCTTTGCAGGGTGCTTTGGGGTTTAAGATTACAAACTAGGGCACAGCGCAGCAGCAAATACGAACTTTCCAACTCTAGCCACTCTGATTCCTCATCTTGTTCTCACGGTCATTGTATCGTACTGGCAGCGCTTCTTGCGGCTTGCCTCTGCGCCTCCACGGGCCTCGCACCTTTCACAGATCATCCGCAAAGGATTCAACATCAGGTTCGTCCCTGTTGCTTTCATGGAGACGCATGCGTGTCCGCCTGAGAAATCCAGTCTTGGCAGGCCAGGTGTGGGATCACCTGCTCCGAAGCAGAGTCCGAACAAGACAATCAAACCGAAGATGCCGCATGGTCGCAGCAGCTGCTGTTGCCCTTGTACAGAGCACAAAGCGTCTCTGCACTCACCGTTAACCTGCAGGAGCCAGGAGGTCTGCACCAGAAGGAGCCGCCTTGCAGGAAGCCACATCTGGAGACGCGACACATCAGCAGCATCCCTTTAAAGCCATTGACCACCACCACACCTCGCCAAGGGGAGAGAAGTCCAGCAGATCCGGCATGGCCGCAACGGCTGGTGGCCCCTGAGCAGCCGGAGCACATCTCGGATCTCGGGCTCTTCTGGCAGGAAAAGGCTGCAAAGGCATCGCACGGCCTCTTGGGCGGGCGCAGTGGGACCGGGCCTGCGTGCATAACTCGCTGCTGCTTTCTATAACTCCTGCTCTGGTGCTTGCACCTGCGCAGACAGACACCAACAAGAAGCAAACTAAAGAAAAATAAAAGCAGGCACTATAGAGTTACGAGGCTTACAGGCCAAACACAAGAACTCGAGCTCCCGGCACGCCGGCCGCCGCAGAACTTCGGGCCTTGCATTGCTTGGGATCCTCCAGCTTAGTAACATCCTCGTCTCTTCCTGGGGCAAGGTCCGACCCGGAGCTCGCAAGCGCTCGCACTTCGGTACCCACCTCTTGCGGACATATTAAGAAAGGGGGGGAGGCCATTAGTTGGCGGCAGCTTCACGGCTGGGATTTTAGCTGCTGGTGCATTGCTGGCCTGCAAGCCATTCCGATGCAGGAGCTCATCCTGCAGGGGGCCTCGCATTCGATGCGAAGCGACAAAGATTCGCTTTCCTCTGAGACTTTTGGGGTTTCGGAGCTTGGCTTTTTGCTGCACCAAGGGACCCAGAAACTCGTCGCCGCTTCGACTGTCCTCGGCAACCAGCGTTTCGCCAGGATGTTCCCCATGCTCCCACCCTGGCCCGGGTCTCGCCCTCCTGCCTGTGTTCTCAGCCACTCGACATCCGCCAAAGAACTGCCGCGGCTGCTGTAGACGCGGACCTAGAAGGACGCAGCAAAGACCGCGAAAAAGCCGCACGCGACGCTGCGCCACTCCTCTCCTGGCCGCTCGGGCCCTGGCGACACGCGCTCGGAAAAACCGCCCGTTCGGGCCGTACCTGAAAGCACAACAACTGCTCCGTGGCTCCTCGTGCTCAGCCCGACGGGCGCACCGTGCGAGCACCGTGTCACCCGCCCAGAGCGTCTCCGGCACGAAGCCCTGAGTCACAAGGCCAGCTGCTGCAGACGTCTGCGGAGGGCGGTCCGACGATGTCGCTCTTGAAACGATTCGAGACTTCTGATCTCCAAGAACTGCCCCCTTCAACTGCCAGATATCAGGGGGCAAGTTGCTGGCAGCGTCTCGTTCCGGTATGGAGCTGGTGCCTTCCGGTGCAGAAGGATGTTCAAAGTGCGTTGAACATCCCCCTTCGAGACCGGAACCTGTGAAGATGTTGCCGGCTCGGAACCCGCTGAGCCATCCTCCTTGAGGAGCCCAAATGCACCGTTTCTCTCAGCATTTGAATTTGGAGGCTGCAGCGTTGCAAGAGGTAAGTTCCCGGCAAAGTCGAGCAGATCGCCGTGGGCATCGCCGGCCTTTACAAGTGAGCCAGGATGGCGAGCCCTCTCTGCTACTAGTAATGGGGAATTCTCCCCTTCTTGCGCCTTGGCTTCCAAGCGCTCTTGGTACTGCATCCTCGCCAGCTTGGCGGCTGATACTCGGCCTGGCGATCAAGGCCCGAGCTGTGCTCAGACTCCAAAATGGGTGCTTCCTCCCTGGAACCCCCCCCCCTCCCTCCCGAAGCCTCCAAGCGGCCGAGACAACAGCGAGTCCGGATTGCACTCGAGGAGGCGCTGGCGCGGAAAGTCAGGCTCATGCATGGGCCCATCCAGAATGCAAAAGACTTGCAGAAACGAAGGCCCGTCCCACCAGTGCAGTGGCAGCGCCGGCGACTCGAGCTGCACCTGCCGTGCTTTTCTGCCACAGTCAACGCGGCCTCGCTCCCTGCCAGACTCTCTGCTCGCTGCTGCGGACCCATTGTCTGGGAGGCTGCAGACGGCGGGAGATACGACGACCTTAGCCGCAGCATTCAACTCCGGCACTACGCGGTTGTTCAGTCTGCCAATGTTGTGTTGGGCGTGTACCCCTCTACACCTTCAGGGAAGCTCTGAGCCAGGGGCTGCCGGGCCGTCATTGAAACTCCCTGCACTGCAGACGTGATCAAAGAAAGACCGGTGGATTCTTGTTTCGTAGGGGCTTTGCACTCGCCTCCCGAGAAGCGGCGGCCTACATCGCCACAGGAGGTACAGACGCAGAATACTTCAAGCTCTGTTAAGTAAAGGCTGCTCGGTTACTGTGACGGTTCAGCCAAATGCATTTGCTCGGTGTCGCGAGTGTGGCGTGGGCTGGAAGGCTCTTCACATCTCTTCAGTTTGCAAAAGAGACTTGAGATGATCATGCCTGCTTGCTTCTCGACTGACTAGACTGCCGCAAACTTCATGAGCTCATCCAAACTGAATGCTCTCCTGATCCATGTTGCTTGGGGCTTGACAGGCTACAGCCTGAGCAAAAGTGGCAAACCCAAAGACCGCTGCGAGTGGCGCTGGCCCTTCAAACGCTCCAAGCATGCTGCCGCATGCGTCGAAGATCGCGATCATGAGATGATCACGTGGGCTCACTTCGACGTGTAAGGAATCACCCAGACATGCCTTGCAGTTGTTCGGGTGTCCAACGCCTCAGCATCTCTGGAGAGCCCAAGTTTGATTCGGCTTCAAGAGCCGCCTCTCAGCGCCTTTGGGTCTTGGGACCTGGCTGCCAACGGACTCCATGGGTCCGGCCTTGGGGTCACCAGGTCTCAGCATCAAAGGAGAGCCTTCCCCAAGCACCACTGGGCCCCAGGCCGTCTTCAAAGAGTTCAGTTGTTTCGGAGGATCACCATCCTGCCCATCCTGCAAGAAACCCATGGAAAGCGCGTTCGTTGCCTTTTCTTTGAGAGGACTTCCCCACAGGTCCTGTGCTTGCTCGCTTCGCGAGGCCGAGCTGCTGCTCTCGTCTTGGGTCGACTCCTTGTAAGCCTCCGAAAGCAAAAGGAAGCACAAAAAAGCAATAGCAACTTAGTAGCTGCGCCTGACTGACTCTCTCTCTTTCTTTCCCCAGGGCTGTGGTGGGGAGTTGCCTCCTCTCTCTTTCTTTCTTTCTGCAGGGCCCTCTCTCTCTCTCTCTCTCTCTCTCTCTTTCTTTCATTGGGCTTAGGGGCCGAGTTAAGTCCCCTGGCCTTGTGGCCCCCCACTTGTTATGGGGCTTTGGCCTCTCTCTCTCTCTCTCTCTCTCTTGCTTGCTTGCTTGCTTGCTGGGCGTCTAAGGCAGGGGAGACCCCTACCCTCTCTCTCTCTCTCTCTCTCTCACTTGAACCAACAGCAATAGTAGGGCAATAGCTTCGAACATCTTCAAACGCTTGGAGAGACGGAAAACCTTCACGTCCACTCAACGAAAGTCTTACACAAAGGAAGTTCGGGTGCGATCCGGCTCTGGTTTGGAAGCGGAGGCTCAACTACGTTACCATGCTGACCGAAAGCTCGTGCACGATCGAGGCAACTTTCCTGAGGTCAGCTTTCTTTAGAAAAAATAATTCTGCTGCAGCAGCAGCAGCAGCTACTTCCAAACCCTTGGGAGCACAACTGCCACGACCTGCCAACGTCCAGCGGGGGGCGGCTCGTGCTACACCACTGCTCCTGCCTTATGTTTGTGTGTGTGTTCTTGTGCAGATCACTTTGAAGTTATCGACATCTTCTTGGCGCCCCCTCCTCCCGCAAGAGCTTTGGTGATTATACAACCAGCACTGAGATTTATGCACGAAGCAATCTAGGATGATGCATTCTGGATAGCTGACAGGACATAGGTTTCACTTCCTCTTCAAGAAACCGTTGCGACTGTAGTGCTGGAGCGGACAGGGGCTGCGATGTTTTTTGACACCTATCCGAGCTTGAACAGCCACACACACACACACATACACAAGCTGGACTGCCTTGACCGTCTCTGTGCGTGATCCCGAACTGCTGCCGCTGCCATCCCGAGCCACCTTTGTCGCCTGTCTGACAAGTAGATGAAGAGTCGGCAAGGACAAGACTGGAACCCTCCTCCTACTAAAGACATGGAGCCTGCCTCACTCTCCTCGCAAACTGAGGGCTCGCAGCCCGTAGTCGTGCTGCTGCTGTTGCTCACTGACCTGCTCAGGGTACAAAAGAGGAGACGGAAGCACTGGGTCGGAAGTACCAGTGCACAAGCACAACAGTAATCTAAGCACTGCTCCCATCTTCTTTCACTGCCGGCTTACGCCACCCGTTGGGGCCAGTCTCCTGCTCAAGGGAGAAAAGTAGCAGCTTGAAAACATGAGGGAAGCTTGGGAGATGCATCTACCAAACCTTCCCCAAGCTCGAAATGTCCTTCAAGCATTCACCACTCAACGCAGGCATAGCCTGCAGAGATCGGACACGGCCAAGATCACCCTCTACGCTTTGGAGTCCAAATGTCTAGCAGTCTAGCATACACTCTAGAAGCTCTACCAATCGGCAGTCAGCACATATTGCATCATTAATTACTCGGCCACCTGCAACATCGAAACTGCAGAACATCTAACTTGTGTGTGGGGAACGCATGCCTGCCAAACTCGTGCTTGCATACACCAGAATCTGATGAATTCTGCATGTCGAGACTCACTGGTGCCAGACTGTTTTGCAGCAGTTGGGCTTGCAATCATGTCCGCAAAAGTTTCAGCGAGCATGGACTGAGGAACTTGACTGCACTGCCATCCAAAGCGAGCTGACGAAGTCTTTGGTGGGGCATAGGGCTACACTTTTTCTGTCACAGTTTGGACAAGTCGGATCCACGGGGTGACTGCAATGAACACTGTGCAGCATGGCCGACGCAGCACTAAGTCGGAAGTGCTCACAGATGCTCTCAAGATGTAAGCCAGGCCTTTTTCAGACCACTTGCTGGACTGTCAGCTGCCAGAGCCATATTCGTGCTCGTTCAAGCCTCAGGTTCCAGAAGCCAGTCAGCTAGTCCTGTGGCCAAAGGAACACAAAGCCAGACTTGGCTTTGCCCCCGGGCAGCCACAACAACAATCTGTTCGAACCTGCCAGCGGTCAACCACGGGAACATCCTGCTGTCTCGGCACGATGCTAAAGGCACTCACCCGAGCCTGATGCTGGCTTACGCCAGTGGCGTGGATGAGCCCAAGCTCCAACGCAGTTGGAGATGCTCCCGACTTGCTTGACGCAAGGCTCTCGGAGTCCCGGAGTGTCAGGCGACTAGTCCGATGTCATGTACTCACTGTACTTGTGAGTGCTTTGAGCTGTGCCGAAATCGAGATCCTTAGCCAATCCAGAACTCGAGTGCCAGGAGCCTCTTGTTTGATCTGAGCCGACACAACAGGCCAAAGTTTCTGAAGTTGGCAGATGGAGCAGTGTGATTTCTGGAGATCCACAAGGGTCACTCTGTCCTGTCCTGCGTCTGTGCGTCGGAGCTTTTTCCCGCACGCCAAACTCTGTGTCGAGCGATGGCTCCTGGAACAGAGGGCCTCGGCAGACGTGGACAAACGAAGCGTGAAGGGAGTTAGTCACAGTTATCTAGGACGGGCACACATGCAGGGAGTCTGAAAAGGGAGAACACCGAAAGGTGACGATGCCTAACCGCCTAGTCAGCTGAGGGATCACCTCGGCAGTACACTCGGCTGGATTCAAGCACATCCGAATTCTGGAAGGTAACATGGAACGCCGCGGTTCTCACCCGTACAAGAACAAACCACTCCATCCCAGCTCTGCTTTTGTCCTGTCCACCTGCCTGCAGTCAGGATGGGTCTGACCCTCACACGATGTGAAGATCGCAGGGTGCTGACTCTTGGCCGGAAAAACTCCGGCAAGCAAACCATGTGTTGCCCCGCCATGCCCCGAACAAAAACTGTCATGCGATTAATGCGAACACGTCTGCTTTAGCCCGACGGGTCGCTTCAGAAGGCAGGCGTGTAATGCCACTAGCACTGCCCATCTATACGGCAATTGAATTCAGGAACTCTCCGTGTATTTTCTAGCAGCACACTTTGCGACGAATGGCGCATCTGAATTAGTTGTGCTTGGGAAGATATCGCGAGCTGCTATGCTGTCGGGTGCCAATCTATGTGTCAGCGCCTGCTCGTGCGATTTCCAGCTGCGTCCTGCAGACATCTAACACCGACGCAGGCGCAGGGCATCCTCCAAGTCTCAAGATTACATGGGTAGTTGTCAAAATTATGGTCCCTTTTGGGGTACTCTAAATAATAGGTGCCGTAATATAATAAAGACCCAAAAAGGGACCCTAATTTTGACAACCACCCACATGAACTTTCCAGACGCAGCCTTCACACAGAACTCAAACGCCAGAAGTGGCTGTACTGCTGGCCCTGCTGCACTTGCTTCCCTGGCAGTCCAAGCTGAAGATCCGCTGCTTGACACTCGACACGACATATCTTCGACCCAGGCCAGATGTTCCCTAACAGGTCTTGCTGGGATGTATCCTGGGGCCTGCATGACAGTTCCTGCACAACAGTCATCAAAAAGTGTGAGCGCAATGAATGCAAAAGCAGAAGATATGCGTAATGAAGGACTGGATAGCCAAACATAACACACTATGAGCATGGCATCGGTCGCAAAAAAACTGACGTCACGAAAGGAGAGGCTGCAAAGAAAGAACCCGACAGAATGACACGTGAGAACAAGTAGCATGTACATGAACTGCAAGATGATGCGAATGTTTGCTGGAAGGCCAAACAGACCGGACAGCAGGATGATGCAGCCCTGACGACTTCGATTTACATTCAAGGGCCTTGCACGATGCTTGGTTCTATCTAGGCACAAGACCGTCATTTGCTCAAACCGTCTTCTCACTGGCGAGAGCAGACACTCTTTCCAATTGACGAAGGGAATGCAGGATCCCCACATGCCTGTCTGGCGAACTCGCGACCAGACTCTCCGTAAACGTTGTCGAAGTCGGCCTGGTGCGCTCAACTCCGACATTGCCTTTAGGGCCCATTGTTACCTGGCCACGCCTTCTGCCTCTTCGCGATAACCAACCCGGCTGGCCAAACTTTCTCTGCTGCTCAACCGGCTGAAAGCACACACTATCCCCGGAACCTAGACGCCGCCAAAAGGTGCAAAGGACACCAGCCTCGACTTCATGCAAAGCCTCGATCATGTGACCCATTTCCGCATCCAACTCCACGACCTGAGGATATTCGTGGCACAAAAAGTGATGACCGTCTTTGTCTATGCCAGGTCAGCGTAGAGGTGGAGATTGGGAAAAAGGAGTCTGAGGACGAGACCAGCTTGTCCTCGCCAGCCTCCAAGTCGTGGAGGCGGCTGCCCATGTGGGCCAAGGCCTGCTGAGCTTCCTGCAGGTCTGCAGAGAAGCGGTCCTGCTCCAGCTTCTTAATGTAGTTCTTGAGTAGCCGCCGGCAAGCCATGTAGAAGAGGCCAACACTGCCAGTGACAAAGGCAGGCACGAGAAGAGCACGGGGACCCGGAATCACATTCTCCATGTAGATTCCAACCAGGCCTCCAATCAGGTAGAAGGACCACAACCCGGCCAGCACCGCCAACTTCCGTGCATCTACTCCGATCTCAGCACGGTCGATGTCGTTCAGCGGTGCACAGCGACAAGCTTTCCGGAGATAGATCATGCTGATGCGGCCCATCGTCGAGCCGATGTCTGTGACCGTCCCAGTGACATGCGTCGTGCGGATGATCGCACCGAAATGCGAAGTGCACATGGCATTCTGCAGACCGCAGGCCGCAGACACAAAGCATGCCGGCACCAGGCGACCAGGGACAAATGCTGCGGTGATCAAGAGTGCAGAGTTGAGGACCAGAGCCAAGCCATAAAATGCCTTGCCCATGAAGTGCACCTGGTTTTTGTCGATGAGGATGCCGCATGCATACGCCCCTGCCAGAAAGGAAAATACCAGAGAGCAGGCTTCTTTCAGGGACTCTGACCCGTACTCACCTTGTTGGTAGCCCTCCAGTCGGAAAGCCATGTTGGATGTGCTGCCCGTCACATGGGATGCATACAGCATCCAGCACTTGAAGGCAATCGTGTTGGCGGCACCCGCACATGCAGCCAAGCACCAGCCGAAGCCTGTCACCCAGAACTTCGGTCGCTGAAAGCTTTTGCGGATGGTCGCGGCTTTCCTGATAAAACCCAAGAGTCACAAGAAGACAAGGCTACCAGTAACTAGCAGAATTGAGATGTGTGGCACGATTTTCCGCCTCCATGCACCAAAAAACAAAAATTGAATCCAGAACATGCATGCTAGGCTGGACCGGCCAAGGTTCTCACGGATCCTCATTGTGGAGCTCGACTGCCTTGACAAGCGAGAAGGGGAGAGCGGTGCCTTCTCCTGGGGAAGAGCCTGCGTCATCCTGGTGGGAAGTTGTCTGCAACACAAGCTGTCTGAGTCAGTCGTATGCTGCTCCTCGGGCCAAAAAATGCATTGGCGCGAGGATTTCTACTTGCTCAGGCTCCCGACAGCCCTAGCACAGACGTGACTGCAAAAGGACATCTGACAGCCAGATGCTCTTGAAGCACGAGGCATGAGCCTTCCACTGGCTCACGCGGCTGCGAACTTCGCCTGTCACACTTCTGATTAGGGTTGAGCATGGGTTTCAGACACTACGGTCACCACGCGAAGGAGAAGCGCATCAGGGCCAGCATCAAATTGGAACCCAGGACGCTGTAAAAACCTCCCGGGGACCGCGCAGCCGCTTTTCTATCACGAAGACCTGCAGGCTGAGGCAAGGATCCGACAGGAGGCCAACACATTCTGAGCCTTGCTCCCAAATCTGCATTCCTACCAGTGGCAGTTTTGATGATATGATTTCCCCCAATGGCGGGCCGCCTCCTTGGCAGCAAGATTCGCAGCAGCTGACATTGGATTCACCGCCGAATGTGTGACCTGCAGCAATTGAACTGGCACTTGGGCGCCTAGTGGGGGTCACCCGCGGGTATTAGCAACTCGTGTTGGTGCTACCCCACCCCAGGTCTTCTGAAGGAAACCTGGAGTTTATGCATGCCTGCAAAAGGTCCGTGCTCCAGACAGCATCAACTTCCGAAGAAGACACCCATGCAACACATCGGACTAGACAAAGACGAAGAGAAGATGGCTGTCAATGTGCCGAGCTAGGCAAAGGGCCTCTGCCACACACCATGGCTGCTCTGCATTCTGGCTCAGCGGAAAGAGGGACGCCACCTGGCGCAATCCCAAAGACTTCTGCCGTGGTCAATCCTTGGCGCACCTTGTGTGGTCTCCAGTCCGCAACAAGATCTTCGTCGACATCCTGTAACGGGGGTCCGGGATGTGATAACGAGGGACGATGACGTTGCGGTGACGCACCTCGTTTTCTCGCAAAAACCGTCGGATGCCGATGCAAAAGTCCCTGCGGTCCGACAGCAAGATGCATCGAGCCCCGACCTGACGTGTCCGAGAAGACTTCGGAGATCCCTGCTGGGCCAGCGTTGCCCAAGAAAGCTCGTCAAGGCCACGACCTCCAAGTGATCTAACACCACTCGCAGTCCATCTTGCACGACTGCCTGCTCCTGCGAGGCCGGCAGTCGTAAATCCATTTTTAAAATTTTCGCACACCGTGCACCAACAGAACATGGAGAAAACCTGGCCCTCCCCTGGCCGTGCACCTTCCGGAGGGCAGCTCGCAGCGCGTTCAGCGCCCCGTCCGCCGCCGGCCCGGCCTCGGAGAAGTGCTCGCATCTGCTCGCATCTGGAGCTCGCATCTGGAGCTGCGGAGCTGCGGCTGCTGCGGGATCTTTGAGCAACTCTGCGACACGGCGGAAGAGGCCTCTCGCAGCACGGGATCCTTCTGACAGCCGCGTCTTTTGCACACTCGGTCGCCTGCAATGTCCGAGTTAGCCTCCGCTTCAGAAACAAGCACAACACGTGACGCATGCATCAGTCTCGATGAACTGCAACACGTCTCAAGCCCTGGAGCCACAGCGCCTGCAATCCGCACACCTGCTTCTGCACTTCCAACACCTTGCGAACTCGAAACTTGCAAAGGTCAGCAGCAATAACCGGCTGCAGCCGGAACCAGCAAACAGCATGTGACCCTAACTAACCATGAACCTGCGCGAACCGTGCCCACAGCAAGTCGTCCTGGCCACGATCATTCGGCATCAGACTTCACGATTTCTGTTTCTCTGCCTCTTGCTCTCCGTGCTGTTGGAAGAGTTTGGCAAGCTCCTCTGCATGCAGAAAGACGACAACACTTTCTGGTGGTCACCACCACAAAACGAATTGCCTAAAGCGCAGTCTCTTTAAGCTTGCGGGGCACCCAATCCAGTAGACACTCCTGCTGCGTTGCTTTGCGCAGCCATGCGGCAGACCAACTCGGCAACACCTGGTGCACGGATTTGACGTTGAATGTCATTGCTACTTGCTGGTTACCTTGCAGTTTTCACCGGAATACTAGCATCCGCAGACCAGCCATGTTTGGCATCTACCATTATCTCTGCTGTATCTTCATCTCGATGAAAATGTGGCTAGTAGCCAGTGGCTACTTGGTCGGTAGTAGTGGTAGCAGCGGTTGATAGTGGTAGGGGTGGTAGTGGTGATACTGGAAGTAGTGGAGGTAGTGGTAGTAGTGGTGGTGGTGGTGGTGGTAGTGGTGGTACTGCTGGCACTGGCGGTACTGGCGGTACTGGCGGTACTGGCGGTACTGGTGGTACTGGTAGGGCTGGTGGTGCTGGTGGTGCTGGTGGTACTGGTGGTACTGGTGGTACTTGTGGCACTGGTGGTACTGGTGGTACTGGTGGTACTGGTGGTACTGGTGGTACTGGTGGTACTGGTGGTACTGGTGGTACTGGTAGTACTGGTGGTTCTGGTGGTACTGGTGGTACTGGTGGTACTGGTGGTGCTGGTGGTGCTGGTGGTACTTTCAGTGGTTAGTGGTAGTGGTAGCGATAGTGGTGGCAGTAGCTAGAGCGATGGCGGTAATGGCAGTGGTAGTGATAAGGATCGTGGCAGGTAGTGCTGGCAGTTTGCGGTGGCCGTTGTAGTGGTAGCAGTAGCAGCAGCGGTAGCAGTAGCAGTAGTAGCAGTACGTAGAAGTAGCAGTAGAGGTAGCAGTAGCAGTAGCAGTAGTTGTAGTAGCAGTAGCAGTAGGAGTAGGAGTAGCAGTAGCAGAAGCAGTAATAGTAGTAGCAGTAGTAGTAATAGTAGTAGTAGTAGTAGTAGTAGTAGTAGTGATAGTAGCAGTAGCAGCAGCGGTAGTAGTAGTGATAGTAGTAGCGGTAGTAGTCGGGGTAGTAGTAGCAGTAGTAGTAGCGGTAGTACTAGCGGTAGTAGTAGCGGTAGTAGTAGCGGTAGTAGTAGCGGTAGTAGTAGCGGTAGTAGTAGCAGTAGAAGCAGTAGTAGTAGTAGTAGTAGTAGTAGTAGTAGTAGTACTAGTAGTAGTAGTAGTACTA